GTTAATAGTTTTTTGTCGTTGTCCAATTATTGGACCAATGGTTGAAAAGACAAAGTGGAAAATATAGTGTTATAAGACAGGAGATTACAATCTATGAACCAGGACAACTGCTGATGAGCCAAATCAAATGGCTTGGTGGGCCAACTTTGGCCCACGGGCCATACCTTGGGCACCTCAGCCTTAGGGTTTGTGGTCAGGGTTAGGCTGTAAGAAATGTAATGGAAGTCAATAGAACGTCCCCCAAATGTTTAGCTGGGCAAACCTGTGCGTGAGTGTACCTTTCAGCAAGTTTATTATCATTATTACTAAATACACGTGTTTTGTTGTTGTGTTTGTGTTCTCTCCGTTTCTGTAGGTGTGCAGCCAAGATGTCGAGTGTGTTGTATTTGTGTTTTATTGATGTATATTTCACACATCTTCTAATCTATATTTCACTCTTTCCCACATTTGACCTTTTTCCTCTCTTTCTTTTTCTTCTTTAAAAAAGTCACTGATGATGAAGAAACAGAAACTCATATTCAGCACTGCTTTCTACTGAAGTGGCTTAAAAAAGGATGTAACTGACCTGTTCAGCACAAGTGTGACTCTGGGGGAAAATTAGTAAAGAAGCAGCTACATGCAAGCAAAAAAAAATAAAAAAGGAACAGACTTTATTAAATTTGAATTTCAAATGCAGACCTCTTGTGTCCATATAGTTTATAAAGGTCAAACATGGCGGTGTGTTTGATTAGAAAATGACATTTTTTTTATCCATTCTTGCTCWTTTGACAAAAGTTAAGCCAAGTCTGTGTTTGAGGTTGACAAAGGAACAGGTTTGAATTTAAAACGCATATTTGTTTTGTGTTAAAAGAGGTGAAAATTGGGAGTGGAAGTGTCTCTTCCCTCCCTCAGGGCTGCCTGGAAATACTGGGGGGAGGGGGGTGCAGCCTGGCTTTTCTAGCTCTTCCTTCTGCTCGCCTCACATCAGATTTTTCAAACACATCCAACCTGTTGCAAATATTCAAAACACTTAAATATTTAACRGTTGTTTAAAAGTTTTCAAAATCTATATTTTAATGAAACATTTCCCCACACTCCTTGTAGGCCTGGTGTTCCTTTCAAATATTTATCAATCTAAATAATTCATATTTTCTTCTTTTTACTTGAAATGTGATTAAAAAAAGTTTTGACCAAATATTAAAAAGCGTCTGARCATCTCTGTTAATGCTCTCTTATTTTAATGTTGCTACTTTATTGCCGCTCGCGAGACATCAGGAGCTTTTAACGAAGCTCGAGCGCAGATGTTTGGACACAGCTGCTCTCTGATTGGTCGTCGCGCGCTCAAGCGGCACTTCAAAGAAGCCAGAAGTAGTAAAGGATCCGAGCGAACGCAGCGGAGAGGGATTCAGCCACGAGCGGAACCAGTTCAGAGCCTGTTCGGTGAGGAAAGTCTCGGTTCGGTCCATGGCGGCACTGCTAGGGGTGAGTTCACATCTTTATTTACCTGTTGTTTGTTTCACAGCTTCAGCTGCGGGTCAACGCGAACTTTTCTGCGGGTTTTCTAACCGGTGTTCACCTGTGCAGGAGGAGCCGCGGCTGGGCAGCACCCCGCTGGCCATGCTGGCCGCCACCTGCAGCAGAATCGGCGAGCCCACCCCGTCCTGCTCCCCTGGCCTCTCAGACGGCGCGCCGGGACTCAGCAAAGGTTTCCACCCGTGGAAAAGGAGTCCTCAGGTCAGCGGCCCCACCTGCCTCACCTCCTTCACAGTTTCTTCTGGGGCCTCCAGAACCAGCGGGACCGGACTGACCGAGTCCTGCAGCGCTTTCACCGTGACGGCCGCCAACCCTGCTGTGGGAAATGATTTTACTGCTGTGCCGTTATCAGACAGTGTCTGTGATTCCGCGCAGCGCCAGGTGTTCATGCCAAAACTACCTCCGTCTGTGGAAAGCTTGGGTATTTATCCCAGGATGCACCCCTATGATTCGTGGTTTAAGCCCGTGGGAGAAGTGGGCAGCGGGTCGCCTGCGGCTTGGTGGGACATGAGCGCCGGCTGGGTGGACTCGCAGAACCCAGGAGGGTTACCTCTGAGCGGCTACAGCACTGACTACAGCTCCGCCTTCAGCCCCGGTGCGTCTCAGCACCTGCTGCCCGCCTCACAACACCTGTTCGACGGCTTCAGGCCTCCGGTCACAGCGCCCTACTCGGAGAGCACAGCTGCGCCTCCGCTGACGGGAACCCCCGCAGCTTCGCGGCCCTCGTCGCGGCGCTATTCCGGCAGAGCCACGTGCGACTGTCCGAACTGCCAGGAGGCGGACAGCCTGGGCCAGGGCGGCTCGAGCCCCAAGCGGAGGAGCGTCCACAGCTGCCACATCCCGGGCTGCGGGAAGGTTTACGGTAAAACGTCCCACCTGAAGGCCCACCTGCGCTGGCACACCGGGGAGCGGCCGTTCATCTGCAACTGGCTCCACTGCGCCAAGCGCTTCACGCGCTCCGACGAGCTGCAGCGCCACCTGCGCACGCACACCGGGGAGAAGCGGTTCGAGTGTCCGGCGTGCAACAAGCGATTCATGCGCTCCGACCACCTGAGCAAACACCTGAGGACGCACAGCTCCGACGGCTCGGCGGCGGAGGGAGACCCGGGGCYCGGGAAGACGAGCAGCGACAGGGACGAGAGCCCGACTCGGTCCACCGGAGCGCGGGAGAGGGTCCGGAGCGCTGAAGGAGCCGCGGAATGATTTTAGCAGAAACGCAACAAGTTGGAACTTAATTTACMTTAAAAAAAAAAAAGTGTCCAAAACTCTGACAAACTTTGACAGCACTTTATTTATGAACTATGTTTTCTTTATACCTCAGTTTGACTTTTGTAATAAATGTTTAATTCTTTCCTTACCTTATTATTCCCATTTGTTGACTGTGCCTAATTTATTTCAAACTTTATGATTCATCTTTTTATTCACCACGCCCAAAAAAAAAAAAAAACAACGTTTATTTAAGGGTATTTTATTTTAAAATGTGTTAATCTAAAACAGTAAAACGACATAATTTATCTGCTTACAGCTTTTTCTTAGCATGATTAGCGCTTGTGAATAAAACAGGACTTTTTAGTGGTTCATTATTATCAAAGTTCATTTAAGTCTAAGTCTTTTATCTGGGAAATAAAAACAGCAGGAAAATGTGTTCACAGGAGGGTGAAAATTTGTTCTGATAATGAAAATAAATCATTAAACGTCAAAGATCAGATAATTATTGTTACTTTGAATGCGTACTTTTAATTAAATATGATTGATTTTCGAWGTCAAGGCCTGCAACTTTCTCAAAGGGGTTAATTTAAATTTAAATTTGTTTTCAATTAAGCAGAGCTGYTAACTTTCTGCAGATATTGTTTTAGTGTGCATCTCCACCTAGTGTTAATTTTTAACAACACTCACATCCACTTACAACTTTGACATGTTTTATTTGCTTTTAAAAACTTGCTTACATAAAAGTTTACATCATAAAATTACTGTTTAAACACATGCATCATGGACCGTTTTTTTAATTAACTTCATTGTAATTCTGATAACGTTTGGACATTGTGTAAATAATAACGGTGCAATGATTTCAAACTCGTTTTCATTGGGTTGAACRTAAGAAATACAATTTAGTAAAAAGATCATTTCAAATTTGATGCTGTTAGCACTTCTCAAAGTTTAAGGAACAACAAAAGGCTGTAACTGAAAACTGCCATTCACAAACAAGTTAAAGCTCTCTGTTCTCAGATTAACATAATCTGAGCCAAAATTTATTTTCAAACGGACAGAATCAGAATGAAAAACTGTTCTGAAGTCAAATTGATGCAATTTTTTATTAAATTTTTTTGAAACGATGCACGCAGTCAAGGTACTAAAAATAAGAGCAACCCCCTTCCACAGTTAACCATTCCAGAGCCTCCCTCTCTGATGATATAGGGGTGCATTAGTGCCTATGACATGGGTAGCTTACACATCTGGAAACGCATCATCAATGCAGAAAAGTACATACAGGTTTTAGGACAACATGTGCTTCCATCTCAGTGGTTAGAACTGATGCCTCACAGCAAGAAGGATCTTGGGTTTGAACCCTGGCTTTTTCTGTCGGGAGTTTGCACGTTTTTCCTTATGCTGGAGTGGGTTTTCTCCACTTCAGTTTCCTCCAGCCTTGCAAAAAAGATCTGTGATCTCAGTGAGATGTCTGGTTAAATAAAGGTTAATGAACAAAAATAAATAAATCAGAAGGAAGCTACAGAAGCATGGTTTTGTAGAAGACGAGTCCAGATGCTGAAAACTGACCTGGTTCAACCAAGAAAACCCAAACCCAGGACAAAAGTGGATTCTGGTGATGCTGTTTCATTGAAAGCTGTCAAGATGATCCTCAGTGGTAAACAAGGCCCTGTCCCAACTTTGTTGAAATGTTTTGCTGCCATATGTATATATATACA